ACCAAAAAAACAACAACAAGTGATTGGTAAGAAAAAATAAATGAACAAGTTTTCATTAACTGCCATTAAACTCTCTGGCACAATTTCACAAAAGTTGATTATTGAATAACTTTAATGGCTGACTCTTTTTTACCTGTCCTTTTAAACATTTTTGTCCTGTGCATTGGGTAGTGGATAATTGAGGATGGGTGAGGATGAAGGAGGGAGAAAAGATATATTGATGAAATAAGAGTAGGGAATTAGGAATTATCAAAGAAATAGTCTATGCAAAGCCTACTTTCCAGAAAGAAGGTATCTTAAAAGATACTGAAGGTCTTTTCCAAATCTCTCAGATTTTGTCCTTGCTGACAGCAAGCAAGACTGAGAAGTGATGCTTAAAAGACATGATAAGCAACCACCTAGCTCATGGACTCCTCAGCTATGATCACCTAAAACTTGCAAAAGACATTCAGTTGCTAAAGAGTGTCAACAATTACTAAATTTTACAGTCCTGAGATGGAATCAAGTCCCAAATCTCTTTTTTTCCAGCTATAATTATTCAAACCATCTTAGCCTTTGTGAGGGAAGTATAGGAGGCTGCAAGGTAGCCAGGGCCTAGCAGCTGCTTCTTGATGGTCTCCTAATAAGGTATATGTATCCCTCAAATAATAACAACATCATGCTGAAAACTTGCAATTAATCAGTGGTAGCTGGTTTTTCTATAAATACTACATGGCAAACAAATAACTTTAAACTTAATTTCAAAAATTTCTAGAGTTTCTGACAAATTGGTATTACAAGTCTGAGATTTCAGCATGGGTTTGTATATGGACAGCTGCACCTTGATTTTCCCCATTCACATTTAGAATTGTTTCAGCAGTGTTTTATGCAATGGTTCTCAGCACAGGAAAGGAGGGGAAGGCGATTTCTGGCATTTTTGGTTGTTCTGACTGGGTAGTGCTATTGGCATCTAGTGGGTAGAAGCCAGGGATGCCGCTAAACATCCTGCAATGCACAGCATTGCCCCACAACAACAAAGAATGATCTGATCCAAAATATAATAGTGTCAAGGTTGAGAAACCCTGTCTAATCCCAATGCTTTAAATATTATTAAACCTTACAGTGAAATCAAGAAGTCATTATTTTAATTAGTAACAAATATACATAAGGCAGTTTGAAAAACAGACTGCTTAATACTGTATGTAAACTATACAGGGAAAAGAAATGACACATTTGTAATTTGAAAAAAAAAAGTGAGAAAATTAGATATTTTTATTCATAAAAGCATTCACATACAATTTTCAATGAACCAGAAAAATATCCCTCTTTCTTAGATGCTATGCTGAAAATAGTGAGGAATAAAATAATTATAAACTATCCTATTCATGAATACAAATCTATTATCAAGTTGTTAATCTTAATACATTAATATATCATCTGAAAACCAGTCAGAATCTATATAACAACCAGAAGATGAATACACTGGTATATCACAAAATTTTTTGGTTACCTTGGCCTAGTAGATCTACCCCCACATCAGTTAGTGGAGACAGGATGCTCTTTGCTGTGGCAATCACTGATTTAAACTCCTTGAGAACAATAGTAGCTAACATTTTTCTAAGCCTTTACTAATAGGATAAGCAAAATCATTTTGATAGCTCCTCTCAAAACTCTTATATATTAAAATGGTGAAATAGACAAGAATTTCATCAAAATAAGAACCTCACACAGACTAAATCCATTGCAGGGTGGGAAGACAGGGTGCTCAATAACAAATTTGTAAATGAATGAATTCATGAATGCTTTCTACTCTTTTTTTTTTTAATCCTCACCAGAAGATATTTTCCATTTATCTTCAGATAGCATGGAAAGGAGAGAGAGAGAAACATCAACGAGAGTCACATTGACTGGTTGCCTCCCACACGACCCAAACAGGAACCAAGGTACGTGCCCTTGACCAGAATCGAACCCGTGACTCTTTGGTCCGAAGGCTGAAGCAAACCAGCCAGGGCACACTCTTTTAAGTTCTATGCTACATGCAACAAACCTAGATGGATTTCTTTTAACTTAGGTTTTAGAGATACTTTTTTTTTTAAATCCTCACTCAAGAACACCCTTGCATTTGTCCTGAGATACAGTGGGAGGGAGAGAGGGAGGAATAGAGAGAGAGAAACATTGATGTAAGAGAGACACACTGAGTGTCCACCACCCACACAACCCCAACTGGGGCAGGTACAAATTGCAAGCCAGGTACGCGCCCCCAGTGGAACCGAACCTGGGCCTCTCCAGTCCATGGGCCAAGGCTCCAACTGCTGAGCCAAACCGGTGAGGGCAATATACTTTTTCATAGATAGCTATCATTTTGCAAATAAATCTATAAACTGTCCCATTAATACCATGTTAATTTCACCTTTTTTTTTTTTTTTTTGGCCTCCTAGCCCACTGCCTGAACTTATAATAATAACAATAATAAGTCAATTACTTGTGAAAATGACTGCAAATGTCTTACTAATCCCACTGGAAATGGAAATGTGGTCAGAAGACAAAAAAAAAACAAAAAACAATAAGGAAGAAACCCTAATGCCAGATTTTCAGCTGCTGCTTGAGCCCACTCTAGCACTCAGGAATAACTTTCTCCTTTGGATGAAACATCTTAAAATCTGAGGTTATAATGTAAAGAAAAATAAATTTTTACAAAATATCCGTTAGCTGCAAACTCTTTTTTTTTTTTCCTATGTCCTGGTAATTGGTATTACAGATTTCCTTAGGATTAAGGTCTTCTATTCACTTTGATAAATAGTTGTTGGGCAAATTTTCTAGAAGAGTCCCAACTCTCAGAGTTGGCCTGCTTGGGTGAATAAAGGAGGTAGAGAAGAACAGAAAAAGCAATAAACAGAATGTCTAATTCATCACTTTGAATTAATTGAACATAAATAAAATTGGGAAAGAAAAGTAAGAAAGAAGGTAAAGGGTAAGCAGGACCACTTCTGGAAAAGAAGGGGCATAATAAGCATGAGATCCAAGTGTAACAATCTATAGGGTTTCAACACTGCCATCAGTAGAGTGCTGGAGGAATGAGTGAGCCAATTTTCACAGACACAAGTGGGAGTGGAGTGGCTCTTGTGATATCTTCAGAAAAGAAATTTTCTAAGACTCCCACAGGAGAATGAATGGTTTTTATTTGCATGGAGTTATAGTCCTAGGTTTGTAAAGACCTATGTCCCTTGATCTGGTCCTGGAAAAGGTGCAGCTATGGATTCAGCAAAGGTAGAAACAAGGCCAGTGTCCATATTGCAGTCAGGTCCAGTTCAGCCAGTTTAGATTCAGTCCATTAATCCATTGGTGTGGAGTCCACATGGCCCATAGCCATGCAGGGCCTGGGAGCCCCATAAGCCAGGAGTCTGGCACAGGTATTGAGGGAGAAGGCCAAGAGAGGCTTCCTTTGTTCAGGAGATTAAATATTTAGGTTTGATGGGCTTGCAGTGGCCATGCCTATTCTGGCCACTGACTGGCTCCCAAGTGTGACAGACAGGCCCCTTCCTGCTTCAGTCAAACCTTACTGGGCATGCATCTAAACTGCCTTTGTCCAGTCCCTTCCCCCATCAATCTGTAGTTAACAGACCTAGAGAGTATTCAACTATAGTTTTCTAGTAAAGTTGTATAAATGGAATGCCTATATTATCTGGTCTTCCCTTTACTCCTTTCCTATTAAAGAATAACCAGATTATTGCAATGGCATCATTAGCAGTAAGTGAACTTTTTACTTAATTATTACAAATACCTGAGTTTTGGTTCCAAAACACTTTTCCAATTCAAATCCTGTTCTTTTTTTTTTTAATTGTTATTGTTTCAAAAATAGTCTTTTTCTTCCAAAAGAGGTAATTCTTCAAGTCCAGTTCACACAAGGGGATTTGGTATGTACATCTAGTTCCAAATGCACTGTATTCAGCAACACTTAAAAGGGTTCCTACTACTATGTCTCAGGCTCTTAGCAAGCTGCAGGCATCCCAAGTCTAGGACCCATTATTTACTTTTAGCAAGTTTTCACTACTCCTTTTCCTCTCCAAACACACATCTAAGTCCACCAGGCCTTAAACCCTTTATGAACACTCAAGTCCCTCCCTTCTAAAAGCTTTTGAGTGAGTAGTCAGCAGTTGGTTCATCTATTGCAGTGTGGCTTTTCTGTTAGGGGTTGTTTATATGACTCCAACAAAGCAGTTACAGATGTTACTGCCAGGAATTTTTTAAAGGGGTCTGTCTGATTCAGTGGAAACTTGAGTTTTAATTTTTTTTTTTTTTTTTTAATCAGACCTTTCCTCCTGGTCTTAGGTGCAAACTCCTTGGGGCAGAGGGCTCACCGGCCCAACTCCTTATCCGCACACACTGTGGGTACAGGGATAGCTGATGTGCTTGCTGAGTCACCTGGCGCTTCGGGGGTTGCCTGGCACTCAGGTGTGTTATGGCTCCTTATCTCACAGTGCAACAACAACGTGGTTTGAGGGCATACTGTGTGTTAGAGACCATATAAGAGTTTTACATCAACTGACTCATTTAGTTCTCACGCGGCAGCTCTGTGAAGCAAGCACCATTGCTCACATTTTATAAGGAGGCCGAGATTTCTAGATGGGCCGAAGCACACACCGTGAACAGTAGAGAAAAGAGGTGAAGACACACCCTCTGCAACTATACCCGTGCTCTTAACCACCAAGCTGCCTCCCTTTGGTAAATCTATCATCCCTGGAAAACCTGCGGGCTCTTACGCAGCACCGTTCTAGGCGTCCCGCGGTGTGACTGACCTAGGCCTTCCGGCTCCATCCGTGGGACTAATGTGGGTCCTTGTCCTCGTGACACGCTTCGCCGCCTGGGCAGATCCGGATGTGCCAGATTGGGACGATTCCCTGAGTTCTCGTCCAGGGGGGCGGGAGTCGCGTGGGGCGGGAGCTACTTTGCCGGCTGCGCCTGGCTCCTGCCGACCCGGCGGAGCCGCGGGGAGGCGCTCAGGCTGCTCCGGGATCGGGAGCCGGAGCCGGCAGCGGGAAGCGGCCACCTCCGCCTCCAGGGCAGCGCAGAGCAGGAGACGGTAGGCGAGGCGGGGCGGGGCCGGCGCTACGGGAAAGGGAGGCAGGGCGGGCCGGAGCCGCACCGAGCCAGCCGGGCTGCAGCCTCCACGCACCGAGCGCTACGATGGGGCTGGAGACTGAGAAGGCGGACGTCCAGCTCTTCATGGACGACGACTCCTACAGCCACCACACCGGCATCGACTACGACGACCCTGAGAAGTTGGCGGACTCGAGCCCGGATCGGGATCCTAACCGGCTTAACTCGCATCTCAAGGTGAAGCTCGGGGTGGGCCATAACCTGAGGCTGAGGCTAGTCCAAGTCCCCACCCGACCCAGGGGTGCGGGTGCCCCGCCTCTACCCCTGCCCAACCCCAACCCCCACCCTCGCTTCTGGGTCAGTCCGGAACCCGGAATCCACCATCCACTGGGCCTCCTGCATAGCCAAGAATTTTTAGTCAAATTCCTGTGCGCCTACCATGCCCCCAAGAGAGGATGGGGCACCCCAGCCAAGCAAGTCCTTCCTTTTCGCTTCTCCTGTCCTGAGAGCTCTGTGTTCCCAGTGTGGCAGGTTTGGTGACAATTCAGAATCCCTGAGTCTTGTTTCCGCAGGTGGACTTCGAGGATGTGATCGCAGAGCCCGTGTCTGCGCACTCCTTTGACAAAGTGTGGATCTGCAGCCATGCCCTCTTTGAAGTCAGCAAATACGTGATTTACAAGTTCCTAACAGTGTTCCTGGCTATTCCCCTGGCTTTTGCTGCAGGGATTCTCTTTGCCACCCTCGGCTGCCTGCACATCTGGTGAGAAGGGACACACAGTTTTTTGAAACATAGGAATGTTCTTTGCCACATGCCATCTGCCCCCTGCCCTCCCCTTCTGTTAGGCAGGCTTGCAGGAGAAGAACTCACATCAGCTCCTGATATAGTAGCAAGAATGGGAGGCCTTGAAAGGCAGTGTGCTTTCTTTAGAATTATGGGGGAGGGGGGGTAATGGGGGAGGGGAGAGAATCATAGTTTGGGTTAAGAGTTTAAACAGAAGGAATGTCCTCTGTCCTTGGATGTGATTTTCTTTTGAATGCTTGGGCCCAGCTGACTGTGGAGGTGGAAACCTGGAGGCCTTGTTTCCTGCCACAGGCTGCTTGCTCTTTCATAGGGCTGTGTTACGACTTGTGCTTGTGGTTTTGGGCAGGGCTCTTTTTTTTTTTTTCCATCACTTTTTATGCAGTCACCTATGCTTGGGGTGAAACAAAAGTGATCTCTGAACAGAATGCCGGTGACAATATCACCAGAGAAGAATGTCAGACTTGGTTGAGCAGTGCTGTGGAGGGGCTGCTCCAGTTGTGCCAGGGGAAAATGACAAGAAGGAGACCAAATGAATGAAAATTCAGACTGCAAGATAATGAAATGAGAAGGCCTCCACATTACTTTTTCCCTTATAAGGAACAACTGCAGTTAAAGGGAAAATAAATATAGAAACCTACTGGACATTGATAGGATATTTTGAGTAAATTTATTCACACTCAAAATGTATCATAAAGCTTTGGAGAACAGTTTTAAGTATTTAAAATGTTTAAAGAAAAAGGTCATATTTTACCAAAAAGTTTTGTTGTTGTTTTTAAAAAGATATCCACTTTATTTGAGAGGTAGCAATTGTCAAGCTTGTGCTTCAGGACCATCCTGATGAATATGTAACCCTAGATGCCTCCATGCCTTACCTAATCACTTTATATGGTATTGCTACACACTAATTTATTGTGTATTCCTTGTTAGAATTTACCTAATTTTTCTCCATTCCCTTTTATTATCTGAAGTAATTTCTTTAGTCAGTTACTAGCTATTTAGTTCAACAAAGAAAATTTATTGAGTGCTTAATTTGTGCAGGGCACTGGGCCCAGGATGAATAAGATGCAGGATCAGCCTTCAGCTTCTTCACAGCACAACAGGGCAGCTGGCTATGTAGAGAGGTGGATGCTGAGAAAACTCACTGGAACCTGTCGAGGAGGAAAAGGCACAGGGAAGGCTATGTAGAACATCAATTCAGTTTGATCACTAAAGACTGGAAACAACTAAACTACATTGAAAGTACCAAAAGACTGCCAAAGGAATTAAAACCTTTGCCTTTACATATCAACAGATCCCCAAAGGCAAGATGTATAGTTAGTTCATAGTCTGACATTAGCACATCGATTCTTTTTTTTAACCCTCACTCAAGGATATGTGTATTTTTTTTATTTTTTAGAAAGAGAGGAAGGGAGAAAGAGAAACATCAATGTGAGAGAGAAACATTGATGGGTTACCTCCCATCCATGCCCCAACCAGGGATTTGAACCCACAGCCTTTTGATGTATGGGCTGATTCTGCAACTAACTGAGCCACCTAGCCAGGGCAACACATGGATTTTTTAAAAGATTCCTAAGTCAGCATATAAAATTTTGGATTTCTAATTAACTAAAACCAGTCATCTAACCTCTATGTTAGTTTTCTCACTTTTAAAACTCAAAAACTGAGTAACCACATAGCATATTGTGAAATGTTGACTATAAAGCTATTTGGAAATATAGAGTGCCATGTTCATAGTTGACAAAGCCAGGTTTTCCTAAAGCACTTGTGGAAGACTTGTAAACAAAAAGGTTTTCATTTTCTAAATGGTGGAAAGACACAAGTAATACTACAATTAGCCAAATGATGCTTCTCTCCACCTGGCTCTCCTGAGAATGGTGGGTGTTTTTGTGTAGTGCTTCCAATGATGAATCATCAAACCACTTCTTTTTCAGCCACATAAAATGTATTATTTAACTTCAGCTTCTTTTTCAGATTGTATTCATGTGGGACATTAATATTTAACTATCAAACACTTGTCATCAGGCAGCTGTGATTGCAAGTAGAGAAGTAACTTAAAACAAAAATGCTTAAAAGTTAGTTTATACCTTGATAAAATAGATTTATCATTGGTGGATTATGTGACATAAGACTGGATTACATAGAGACCTCAGAGAAGAGCAAACCTATTTTAATAAGTTTGCTCAATCTCTCTCTCCTTCTGGTTTTAAATTCTTTAAACAAACAAAAACAACAACAAAAAACACTCTGAACTCAGACTCATGATGTTGTATCTTTGGCCGGGGTACAGATCATCTGGATCCAGGGAATTGGTTTGATTCCACACCATGGTCAGACCGAGATATCCACCATTTGGCAACTGTATGTTATTGGTCATAAGTAAAACATACCAAAGAAATGTGGCTAGAGCTCCCTTACCCTTTATTTTTGCTAGGATACAATTCAAATTCCTGGTTCCACTGATGGGAATGCAGTAGTATCAGTCTCATTTTCTGGAATATTTTTTAATATAGCAAATTGCTATGACAATGCAATCTTCATGACACTATAGTAAATAAAAAGCTAAAAATTCTCTGTCCTAAGGGCTTTATTATCCAATGGAAGAATATATAATTTTATAAATTCTAAGATTAGTTTAAGAAGTGTTTGGCCCTAGCCAGTGTGGCTCAGTTGATTGGAGCATCATCCCATACACCAGAAGGTGGCAGGCTCGATTCCCAGTCAGAGCACATATCCAGGTTGCAGGTTGGATCCCCAATCAGGGTGTGTGCGAGAGGCAATCAATTGATGTTTCTCATCACATCAATGTTTCTCTCTCTCTCTCTCTCTTTCTTGCTCTTTATATCTCCCTTCCTCTCTCTAAATCATTTTTTTTAAAAGAAGATAAAGAAGTGTTTAGGTTGGCCATGTTTAGCCTCAACCAAGTTTTGGGTCACTCCAAATTACCTGGAGTTTCTGAAGGGGTACTATTTAGGTTGTTGAGGAAACTGTTTGCTATCAGAGGATCTTTGTATTCTTTGATTCAAAGTGAGAGAACAACTTAAATAAAATAACATTAAAATGAGTTCACCATATCCTATAAACTAAAGTCTTCAAATGTTGGCTACTGCAGTCTGCTAAACTGGAAAATCCACTTCTGTCCCAAGCTTAATTTCCTCTGAGGACATGGACATCTTACAAATTATGGGGGTAGAAAATCTCTTAGCCTAAGGAAGAAAGGAAAGTTAATTATATTCTGAGTGAAGTGGATTTGGTTAGGAAGCTTTCTGATCTAAACTTAAGTCTTGTGGTATGTCAGTTTGAAATTATGTTGTTATAATTGTTTTCATTATATATTCTGACCTCAAATAGTTATATTTATTATTTATTATAATGACAGCATCATTTGAACATTTTAAGGGTGCATAATAATCTCAATCCTGATAGCCAGTCTATAAGATTTCCAGGTCATACTTTAATTTGTAGTGATTTACCCAAAGCCACACATAAAATGAGAAACTAATGGAATAAGAAGTCAAAAGTTGCCATCGTTCAAGTTTCTATTCAACTATTTAGCTCTGAAATGCCTACTAATTAATTTTCTTTAAAGATTGCTTCAAGTCCTTAGAATTTAGAATAAAACACAAGATAAATATAATCCATATGAACAGTCCATATGAATGATTTAGTATTTTAAAAATATTGCAGGCAGACAGTTGCCTGATCTTTCCTTCACTTTGGACTAAGTACAAGAAACTTTTATTTAAGTCACATTTTAATACCAAACTAAGAAAATCAACCTTACTTTCTTGTGCCCACCCAGCTAATAATAAAAAATCCATTGAGGCTACCAGCAAGACCTGAGAATTCACATACTGTTGTGCTCAAAGAGCACTACCACAACAGAAAACATTATTCAGAGTGTGACATAGAACAGCCACCCTGAGGAATCTGAGAATATGCAGTTATCTTAAGAAAAGGCATATGAATAAAATAATTTCAATATAGTCTAGTTTTTCTTGTCTAAGAGTTCTGATATAATTGCAGGGCTCTTTTAACTATACCACACAACACTTTTCAGTACATGTAATTATTTAAAAAAATTAAAAATATAAACCATAACAGAATGCTAAATTCACTTCACCTCAAACATTTACTAAGGGTCAAGGATGTCCTCACTTAAAAAAACTTCCATTCCAGTAGGAAAGACAGAAATATAAGTATCTATTTATGATACATTTTGATAAATTTGAGGATTAAGAAGGTTGTTTCAATGTTAGAAGCACACACACACAAAGTATTCAACCTAGCCTTTCCTAAGGGGGAGGGAAGTGAAATAAGTCAACAGGAAAGGCTATCAGGAATTAAACTATAGGGAAATATGAACAGTTAGGTTAATGTTTAGGGGCAAAGGTCAGATAAATTTACTGTTTGGTTTATTTTTTGTTTTACTGATTCAGCTGGCATACCATCAATAGAAATAAGATTACTGTTTATCATCTACCTGCCTGTTTATTTTTATTTTTAAAAATTTTTTTATCCTCATCCAAGGACATTTTTCCATTTTTGCTCAGATAGAGTGGGAGGGAGAGAGAGGAAGACAGAGAGAGAGAAACATCGATGTGAAAGGGACACATCGAGTGGATGCCTCCCGCATGACCCAACCAGGGCCGGGGACAAACTGCAACCGAGGTACATGCCCTTAGTTGGAACCGAACCTGGGTCTCTCTGGACTACAGGCCAATGCTCTAACTGCTGAGCCAAGCCAGCCAGTGCTACCTGTTTATTTTTTAAGCAACATATCGTCTATGTATCTTATCACTGTGTGAATCGCTTTCTTTTATTTGTTTCAAAAGTTCAATAAAATTTAGGTGAATTAAGCCATTGTTGTATCTTTTCACACATGTGCAAGAGTCAGTGATCCTATTTGATAACTCAAGTAATCCTTACACATTTCTCTACCTCCGTTCCAGGATTGTAATGCCTTTTGTAAAGACCTGCCTATTGGTTCAGCCTTCAGTGCAGACAATATGGAAGAGTGTGACAGATGTTGTCATTGCCCCATTGTGTACAAGCATAGGACGTGTCTTCTCTTCTGTCAGTTTGCAACTGAGCCATGACTGAACACTTGGACCCAGGTCTGGAGATTTGGATACTGTAATACTTCTTTGTTGTTAAAGCATAAAAGCACTGCTGTTCTGTGCATTCCCCAACTGTTCTAATTAAGAAAACTATTAAAATGGTCAGCCATTTAGATATGTTTATTGGCAAATCTTTTTGAATAATGCTTTTATAATTAATAATCAAGAATTTTATCTCTAACTTTGTAACCAGAATTATACAGTAGGTTAGCAACACTAATTTTAAAGGCAGACACTTTTTGTTTTAGTGCAAAAGTATATATATTGTCATGATTAATTTATAATGATCAAGGTACATTTCTCTCAAATACTACAATGGTTTTGTGTACAACTGCTTATAAAAATATGGGATTTCTTATATTTTATCCTGAAAGTAATACTTTTAAATTACCTTTGCAGAAAAATTCATAGGTATACTTAGCAATAAGATATATGAAGATTCTAGAAATTGCAGTAATGAAAGCATACAGTGGTGATAGGGGCGATCAAATATAATAAAAAACAAATGTGAAAATTGATTCATGCAAATGTGTTCCTTTGAATAAGGTGTTGTTAATCTACAGTCCTATTTAATAAGACATTTCATTTTACTATATATTTTATACTTTTAATACTTGTATTTTAAACTTGTAAATGTTGCTCTAATCAGATTGCTTTAAAGCACTTTAATTATATTTGTGTTCTTATTGAGCTAATATATAGAATGAGTAACTATATCTCCCGCAAGGAATTTCACTGCTGAGACTGCACTGTCTTGATTATGTAAGCATGTATATCTTCTTTGGGAACAGAATGTAAAAGTCTTTCTAACTTTCCAAGCAAAACCCTGAAATGTTTTGCTTAAGGTATGTTGCTTAATCTGTACCTAATTCTTATTTTGTCCTGGAGATGCTTTCTCTCTTAGAGTTAAATATTAAACCTGTATGCTGCATTCCTATTAATGTTTCACTTTATATTCAAGTAATATTGGTGCTATGTAATAACATTTTACAATAAAAGCTATTTCTTACACTTAAGTACAATTTCAACTACAGTGATTCATAGAGAGAGACTTCCAAGAAATGTTTTTATTTTTTGTGTCCATGCTACTGAGCTATTATTTCATATAAATTAAACACTAATGGCTATAAACTTTAAATATGTTGTCTAATATGGGTTTTGTTACATAGTATAGGATTATTCTTATAATTTTGAGTTGAAGAACCCTATTTCAATATTGTAAGTTGCTGTTATTTTAAAAATCTCATTATTCCAAAATGATATAATATATAAATGATGTCTATGATGTTAGTGGTTACTATCAGTTACACATCTTAAAAGTGTAAAAATGCTCAAATGTCAGAATTACTGTAAGAACCTGAATTAACATTCCTTTGAATATCTTCGTAGATGAGAAATCTTTATTCAAACATTAATTTTATTTTTCAAAATTGCCAGGACTAGTGAAATAAAGGATGATCAAACTGGACTACTATTGAGGACCAAAGCAAATGAATGATTAAATTATGTAACTTGTAATTTTCTGAAAGTAGCCTCAAAAGAAATTTTTAAAAGTGTCTTAGAACATTATAGTATCCTTAGAAAAGTCCCTCATGATAATTACCTTAAAGCATTACCACTCATTTGACTGTATAGATTTTATTATGTTAGTTAAACAGGTCAATCAGTTTCATGACTTTATAATCATACCTTGTATTTAAAGTGTTCTTAAAAATATTTAATATGTTGATTGGCCAAAATATTTGATTAATAAAATATCTATTTAAATAAATCATGAGCTTTTTCCTTTCAAAAAGCTCTTGGCACGTTTTAAAGGCAACATATGTACACATAGTCATATAACAAAACCAATTAGCTTTTAACAAATGATAAATATGAGCTCCTTATTTCTGAATAGCATTGAATACTTTCAAAGTGAATTTATATTGATATTTGTCATTAACTATTTTGAAGACTAAAATTTTGTACCATGTGGATGGAGGTTTCATGTGAAAACATGTTTGTTCTTTAATAGGGTGGGGGTGAGAGGTGGGTGAGTAGGAGAATTTCTCAGTATTATAATAAACTTTCTAAAAACTCATAGATGTAATCATTGCTTTTCTTACATTAAATATAGAACTGATCAATAGTTTTTTCAAACTATTTACCTTCTTAAAAACTCATAATAGATTTTTAAAAAATACATGAGCCATTGCTTATTCAGAAATGTACAATGAAAAATTATGAGATTGGTAATTTATTTTTTTGTTTTTCCAGAACTTAAAGGGATTCCCTACTAATTTTTCTATCATTTGATGAATAGTGGAATAGCTTGTTCATAAACCCACCATATTTCCTCTTCTTTATCAAATAAAGCCTCCTGCTAATCCTAAATAAACTGATATTTTTGTTTTCAATTTTTTAAATGAGAAAGTATAACAATATAAATCACATGTTCTTAGATACTGGTGCCAGGAAGCCAGACTAGAGTCTAAAATTATTATTGGAAAGTATGTGAAGAGTAGTTGTGATATTGGCATAGATTTTTTTGTGTCAGTTTATCTGGAAAATTGACCAACCTCTAATAATAAAACAGGTGTCTGGCTCTATAAAAATGCTCTTTATAGTTTCAAAGAACTTTGAAAGTCCCTCTTTTCAATCATTATTAACATCCCGTGAATTTATTTAGAGGTCTTTCTTGAGAAGCTGTTGGAATGTGATGAAAAGAACCCTACTCTCAAGGTCAACCATCTGGATTCCAGTCTCAGCACTCACATTACTGAGATGTGTCAACTACTGCAAGTGGTTTAATCTCAGAGAGAGGTCTCAATTTTCTTATTTTTAATGAAAAGATTGAACTAAAAAAATCTTTCAGGAGCTTTCTACCTCACTGTTTTCTGTGGCTTCAGTAGGATGAAAACTTGGTTATATACAAGCAAACCCATCTATCTGTTCAGTCCAGGAATTTTATTAAAAGTGTGAATTTTCTATTAATTAGAGGGCTGATGTTCTAGAAATACAATAAAGAATGCATTCGCTTTTCAGTCTTCCATTGGTTGTGAAACTGTGTATGTGACTTTAATTTTTCATGACAGGGGTTCCTAGATTTATAACAATTTTAAGTCCTTATCATTGTGATATTTTCCCAAAAAATAATATGCTACTCCATATTTTATATTAATTAAAATGTATTTTATGTAAATATTTTTCTACTAAAACCACTGCTATATAATCATTGCTATCTTCATTTTTTGCCCAGTCAGTTGTTACAGCCTGCTAACTGACCTCACTCCCAGCCTTTAATATGACCTTCTTCAATCCATCTTCTCCTTCAGAACAAAAGTGATCACATCAAGATTTCCATGTCATTCTCCTGCTTAAAACTATCAATTGTATATGATTGCCCTTAACAATAAAATCCAAACTTTTTTCATCCTCACCCGAGGACATTTTTGCGTTTATCTTCAGATAGAGTGGGAGGGAGAGAGGGAAGAAGAGAGAAAGAGAAACATGATGCAAGAGAGACACACTGAGTGGCTGCCACCCACAGGACCCCAACCGGGCCAGGGACAAACTGCAACCGAGGTACATGCCCTTAGCAGGTCTCTCTGGTCTGCAGGCCAACACTCTAAATGCTGAGCCAAACTAGCCAAGGCTAAATTCCAAACTCTTGAGCAATGTATACAAGGCCTTCACTCTCAACCCACTGTCATCTTCTATAACCCCTCCTGCAGCCCTCACTGAAGTGCCCGGCTCTCTCCTTTCCCCAGGCCAGCATCACTCTTCTCCTCATGGCTGATCTAAACTCTCCTGTTTCTAAAACTCCTCCACATTAAGTGCCACTTCTGTGTCTTCATATAAAATATTGTACAAATCCCAATTACTACTTACCACACATTAAAACTGACCCTTGTTAACTAATCCCACTAGACTGCTAGTTAGATCTAAAAGCATGACTTCATTTTTGTTTCCTGGGATTCTGAAATGGTACCCAGCACTTAGTGAGTTCGATCAAGATTTTTGAATGAATGACTATGTGAATAAATAATTGAAGAAAATGAGATGAGCTAGAGTAAAAATCATATTTTGACTTCATAATTTTCTTCATTTACAAGGGGGGTTTGAAATGCAACAATTCTAATAATTTCTCCCAATTTTCTTATCTGAAATTTATTTCACATCTTTAGGGATCTGAAACACTAACACTTAGAAACTTATTTGGAAGCATACTTTCTGGCATTTTAGAATGTTGCTATTTCTTTTCTATTTCCCATTTTGAAATTTATAATATCAAAACATTATGTTTATAGAATTTTACAATTTAGAAAACACAGACCCATACATTGTCTCATTTAAATCCAGGCCAAGTTAAATAACATAGTAGAGAAATTATATAATAGCTCTATTTCTTAAATATAGCTTGAAACTATATTTTAGAATATTTATTTAAGATAACAGTAGCTTGCCCTGGCCGGTTTGGCTCAGCGGTTAGAGCGTAGGCCCGCAGACCAGAGAGTTCCAGGTTCGGTTCCTGCTAAGGGCACGTACCTCGGTTGCAGCTTGTCCCTGGCCCCAGTTGGGGTCGTGTGGGTGGCAGCCAGTCAATGTGTCTCTCACACGTTGATGTTTCTCTCTCTTCCTCCCCTTTTCCCTTCTGCTCTATCTGAAGATAAATGCAAAAATGTCCTCAGGTGAGGATAAAAATAAATAAATAAGTAAATAAATAAATAATAAGATAATAGCTTAAAGGATTTTTACAAGGATACTCATTACTCTAAGAAAAATAATTTTTAAGTATGTAGTGTTGCAATGAAAAATTACCACCACTAAAGCAATTTATCACAAATCAGGATTTTTTTTTTTTTTTTTTCTTCAAGGTATATATGTATTTAGGGAGAAGAAGGGAAGGAATTGAAGGAGAAGCAAGGGCAGGATAAGGATATCCTAGACATTCAGGTTATATTTTTTCATTCAGGAATAAAAATAATTTGGGCTTCCATAATTTAATCATCCTAATTCTCCTCCTCTCCCCATTCACCCCTAACATGTCACCAAACAGAAAATCGGACAGAAAAGGGAGAATGGGAGTTTCCAATGACACAGTCTTCACCCTTCATAGTTTTGCTGTTGGACACCCCTGTCAAACTCCTGGTGAAGGGAGCAATGGAAATAAACAGGAGTGGAGGGAGTTGAAGTCAGCTAAAGACTTTTCCATAAAGGAAAGTTGCCTATGTCATATGGAATAGAAAGGGCCCTGAAAAGAGGTGTGAGGGCTCTGCTAAAATAATTTACCCTAAACACATGGCAGAAATGCAAAAGTTAAAGTGAAAACTGAACTACAACTTGTGGAAGTCTATCTCTCTTCCACCTCCCTTCTCTGTGCTATTGACTGTTGCGATGCATCTGTGGCAAAAACAAAACAAACAAACAAAAAAAAACACCATGCAAGCAGTTAGAGAAATCAGAGGACACCACTCAACAACTATCCAAAAATAGGACAGACACCTATCTGCCTACACAAGGACATGTTAGGTCACTCAGCTTGGCTGCACAACCTGAGAAGTTGTTTTGTCATTATAGGAAATTGTAGGCGTGGAGAACAATGAGAGAAAGGAAAAGACATGACTCAGAGTGGGAAACAGCACATAACCAAGGGCAAATATTTCTCCCAGACATGAATGGCTCAGAGAGAGATCGAAGCAACAGGTCATCTTTGGAGCATTCTTTTCTTTCCCTGACTCTGGGTAGCTTGTCATCAAGCACCTGCCTGTAACAGAAAGGGAGAGAAGGGCAGTAAGCAGGACCTGCTTCTCTAGTTGAATGGCACATGATTTCTAGCCAACTGCTGGCTCAACTAACTGGGACAGTGAAACAAGGAATCATTTGGAAAGTTTCAGGGATAAACACACCATTTTCCAGTGAAGCAAGTGACAAGGATTAACATGCTTCTTTTACAGAGAGGAAACAAGTTAGAATCCTGATCTCTGGTACAAACAATAGCCTTTACAAGTGTTGAACATTTATTACCTACTGGGCATTTATTTAAACTGCACAATAATTTTATGATGTGGGTTCTATTATCATCTGCATTTTTCAGATGAGGAAACTGATGCTCTAAAGTTAAAGAATTTTCCCAAGATCACACTGGGACTCAGGATTTCAGCCAAGAGAATCTGACACCAGAGCTCTGGCTCTTGATCACTACAGAGATTATCTGTTATTTCTAGAATATGTGTATGGTTGTTCCAGTGACTTGTTCTCCCCTTTTTTTCACTCATCATTCAGTCATGTTACCTTTCACGCACTGAAAAGCAATTTTTTCCCCTTTTTTCCATCAATGGAAGATCCTCAGTGGTGAGAGCTCCCCACCTTAATCTGTCCCTTTCTAATACTGAACCCTCCCCCAGCCCCATATCCTGCTTTCCTGGGCACAACCTTTCCCTGCATGGTCTGTGCTCTAGATTACATTCCAGCTAATTCAAAAAAATATTTTTTTCAAATACCATTATTCCTATGTTTTATAAATTTCAGAAAATTTGCTGCCTTTAACAAAAATTTTAAAATATATATCAAAAATGCAATTATGATGTTTCTCCTCAATACTCTACACCTTAATACATAAAATATTAATAATTATAGTAATAATTTTTAGTTAGATTAAGCATATATTTTTCTAGATAGAGGCCATATTTTGTATTTTTCTTCATTTAGTTAGAAATTTATTGCCAGTTTGTACATCTTTTAATA